TTTGGGGTCTAGGGTTTAGGGTTTACCAAAGGGGCCGGAATCGTTAGAATAGGGTTTGGGGCTCCTTTACCGTATAACTGTAATCGGTAACTCGAAGAATAATATTGGTGATTGTTTAGGCTTCTACATCAGGGTCCGGGAGTTTCGGGTTTAGGGTTTTAGGTGTCGGACGTCGGGTTTAGGGTTTAGAGATTGAGGTTGACGGTGCAGCCGCGGTTGCTGGTGCTGGGATGCTGCGAATACTCAGAAAAAGCGACATCGAAGTACAATCAAAAGCTGACGCAAAGTCACTACAAACGGCCCGCCATCTGACACGTCACGCGGAACTCGAAATCGAACGCTGCAAAACAAACTTGGCCGAGGACAGCTTCCTGCATTGGCCACGAAACTTCAAAACCCAGATCACCAAGCATTTTGATTGACCATCGCCGTTAACAGCAGCACTTCCGTCAACCTGAGCTTCATCATGATGGCCTCCATCTTCTTTAAGCGAGACCGAACAGCCACAACTTACCATTATCACCACCACGACCACAACAAGACAACAGAAAAAGGCTAACAGCAACAACTTAGGATCCTCATCGTCCGCACCATAGCCGGTGCCAGCACCACCCAAATCATAATACTTATCACCACGGCAAAAAGGATACGATGATCACCTCATGCGCATCATCACCAGCATCAGCAATATCACCATCATGATTATTATCATTATCACCATCAGCATCATACTCGTTCTCACAATCAACATCATAGTCATCACCGTCGGGATCAGCATCAGCAGCAGCAGCAGCACGATTGTCATGGTCGCAAACATCACCTTAATCTTCATCGTCATCAGTACCACTGACTACCATCATCACCACCAGCATGACTACCATCATCATCGTGATCATCTTGGCGAGATGAGCAAAAGTCATCAAAAGACCAAAATCATCACCATCCGTGACTATATGTAACACTTTCTCCCAACAACCCCCTAAACCCTAAACCCAAAACACTGTACATCCTAAAACCCAAACCCCTCAACCACTCCCTCCCCTCCATGGCCCGAAGTACTAAACCCACCAATTGCTCCTGCCCCCGAAATCCCTAAACCCGAAATCACGAAACCCGAAATCCCTAAACCCCAAACCCTAACCCCCCCTAGAAACTCCCCGATACTCCTCCAGAAGCCCCATGGCCCGAGCCCAAAACTCCGAGGTCTCGCACGCCGCGGCCGCAGCCGTGCGGGCGGCCAGGTCCAGCGGCAGGCCTTGCGACTTTGAGGGTTTTCTGTTCAGGGTTTAGGGTTTGGGGTTTGACTCGCCCTGGTTTTTGCGGTTTAGGGTTGAGGGTTTAGGGTTTAGGGTTTAGCCTGTGCGGGGTAGGGGGTTGTGGTTCCGTGCCTGTTTGCTCCAGATCTTCGAAGACCAGAGCAGCCTCCTGCCACTGGCTGCTGGTACCACAGGCACTGAGCACGGCAGTGTAGGTGTCAATGCCCACGAAACGCGCCTCGTCGCTCTACTAAACCGATCCAAACGCAAAAGCCCCAACACCCTGAGCTGTCCCTACATCTTGGGGCCTTATACCCTTATACTGTGAATCCCTATATGGTATATGAACCTGAAACCCTCTTTGGGTTCATTTCGTCCTTAAGGCATCGCTCATGGTAGGACATCCCCAGAAGCCAGTCCCACGCGGTAAGAGCCCCTCCGATCTGGTGCACCGGATACTTAAGGCGCGCCGCTACGGAAAAATCTTCAAAGCTATGTTACGTCGCAGGTAAAGCGACGACGACCTAAGACGTAGCATCGCTCAGGATGCCCTGATTCTGAAACTACCGTCGTTCGACCGACAAGGATTCGGTCATTGAGATGACTATCCTGCAGTGGCATAGAGTCTAGGCATAGAGGAAGTTAAGTTGAGGTCGTCTGCAAAATCGCAGAGGACTGGCTGGACATACAGGTCTTGGATCGGTTCCACTTGTATGTCAAAATCTCTACCCGTCGTAAGCCCATGCCTTTACGACAAAGCCGCACTGAATCTTCACCCATGCCAAGGCAAGAAAGCCCCTGAAAATACTTGAAACATGCTCCGCATGTCTTCGACGGAAGCTTTGGGAGCCTGCTGTAGCTCGGAAAGCAGGGCCAGCGAATGGCTCCACTGCCCGGCCCGGCCACAAGCCACAATCGCGGCGTTGGTGGCCGCAACTCGCCCCTGCAAGTCTGCAATGGATAGACGCGTGCAAAGGGCGGAAGCACCGGGGTCTTTTGTCTTGGGGGGCCGGACCTCCGTCCCGACTTCAGCAAGCATAGACAGCCCCTGCTGCCAGAAACCACCCAGGGCGCAGGCTCGCACCAAGACGGCTCGTGTCGCATCGTTGCTGCGCAGCTGCCGCTGCTCCATGGTGTCGGACAGCACCAAAGCCACCTGTGGGAGTTCAGCGAACTGACAGGATCCTCAATGGAAGGACCCCTGCATGAAAACGGTAAGTACAATGATCATAGCCATACACCGTAACCGAAGTAACAGCAACAGCAGTAAGAAGAGCCATAACATCGATACCCCTAAAACCGAAAACCCAACAGTCCCTAAAACCCTAGACTTCCCTAAACTCTAATCCCTACAACTGCGGCGATGCTTTAAAAACGCCCCCCGACCTCCCAGCGCCCTGCGGAGACGCAGGCCTCCATGGCCGCTGCAAAAGTCTGCGGTGCCGCTGCCCTGCCGCCCCGCTCGGCTTGGGAGAGAAGCTGCAGGGTCGCCTCTTGAATTTTAGGGTTCAGGGTTCCTTTTTTTTTAAAGGGCCCAGGGTTCAGGGTTCAGGGCTTAGGGTTTAGAGGGTTTAGGGCTTAGGGTTTAGAGGGTTTAGGGTTTAGGGTTCAGGGCTTAGGGTTTAGAGGGTTCAGGGCTTAGGGTTTAGAGGGTTTGTTTTTGAGGGTTTAGGGTTTAGGGTTCAGGACTTAGGGTTTAGAGGGTTCAGGGCCTAGGGTTTGGAGGGTTATTTTTGAGGGTTTAGGGTTTAGGGTTCAGGGCTTAGGGTTTAGAGGGTTCAGGGCTTAGGGTTTAGAGTGTTATTTTTTGAGGGTTTAGGGTTTAGGGTTCAGGGCTTAGGGTTTAGAGGGTTTAGGGTTCAGGGATCATAGGGTCTAGAGGGCTTATAGGGTTTAGGGTTTAGGGCTACTTTGAACTTCAGGGCGCTGTGGGGCTTCAGGGCGGTAGTAGGGTCAGCAGGGTTTATTGAGGGTTCGGGGGTTTAGGGCTTAGGGTTTGCATGGTTCGCGGCGTTCGGGACGCTAGGGTTTGGAGTGTATGGTGTTTTTCATTACCCTAAACCCTAAACCCTAAACCCTAAACCCTGAAATTTCAGGTTAAAGATTTCGGGAATTTTAAGATCTTTGGTTTTTTGGCTTGAGGCCTCCCAGCGCCCAGCACGGCCACAGACGAACATCGCCGAGCGATAGGTCACTGCGTCCGCTGTGAGGCTGGAGGCATGGATGCGGTCAACCAGGCCCCTTAGAACGGCTTACAATTAGAATAGGGCTTTGGGGCCCATTCTACTATAACTAAAATAAGGAACCCCCAAAATAGTACAGGTGAATAAGTACTTGGGCCCCTATATATCGGTTTAAGGGTTTCAGGGCTGGGTAGAAGGTTGGAGCACAGAGGACGGCGAAAGAGCGCCTCCAGTGCCTTTTTGCGCTTCTAAAGAAACCTCGATTGCTGTCGGCATAATGTAGGGGCCAAAAAAAATTTTTCCCTACACTGTTTTGGTGGTTCCTTATTGTAATTACAGTATAAGGGGCCCCCAAACCCTGTTCTAATGATTAAGGCCCCGAAATTATCCGCAACTTCAAAACATGCGCGCTGCTGTTCTAAAATCAAGGCCCTCGCGAGGCACCTCTTGAAACTTCTTTTGGTAGCAAACGACAAGCAAAGGGAACTCTAGTGACTCTAATGATCATCTAGACCAACATGCTACATGCAGGGGCCTCAATAATTACCTATAGGATTTTGCGGGTTCCTTATTATAACTATACTTTAACGGACCCCAAACCCCTATTCTCCTTACTAAGGCCCCTATACTAAAGCCTTATAGAATCCTTATTCTAATTAGCCTTATAGTAACCCTCTAAAGGAACCTTACATTCTAAGTATGAAGACCCGTAGATTAAAACTCTCCAAGGCGCACGGCCCTCTGCCACGCAAGGGCTTTGCCGTAGGCGCTGATTGCCTGACGGTTTAGGGTTTAGGGTTTAGGATTTGGGGTTTGAGGGATGTAGTTTAAGCTACCATAATAGGGATCTACAGTACATAATCACATGGTTTCTTTATTGTTAAGGAGGATTTAATTTAAGTTACCATAATGGGGATCTACAGCAAATAATAGGGTTCCTTCGTTCTATGGTAATTTAACTTGAAGCCCTTGACAAGAACCCAGTTTCAACATGATAAAAAATAACATGAAATCCCAAAACCCCAAACCCTAAACCCAGAAGGCAACTTAACTTAAACCCCTTGACAGGAACCCCTAAACCCTAAACCCTAAACCCTAAACCGCCCAGTTGCGGCGTTGTAGATCTCAACATCCAGGCGTGTGCAACGTTCGGCCTGGTCGGGTCAGGGAGGACGAGGCTTTAAAGGGATGGGTTTCGGGTTTTAGGGGTTTGGGGGTT